AGTACATTTGATCTTATGCAGCAAGGTACATCTCTGACATCAGTCAGAGAATGCTCTCCACACGGATATGACAGCACAGTTCTGCATGATTTCACAAGTTAAAAAGGAAGGCTGGGACGAGCTCTATCGTAGAATATTTTTTAAGGATCAACCTAGTCCCGGATTGAACGAAATACATTTCTTGAATTTCATAATTAGATACTGCCCACGGAATATATAAGGAAATATAGAGGAAACGAAACTTTTGGATAGGTATTTATCGATCCCATTTTTAACCACAAGAATCACTTATTGTTCATTAGAAAAAAGAAAACACGAAGTCCAGCAAAGATATCTGTTTTTTCGGCGATTTCATTTTCAAAAGCTGTACAATCGCATTGAAATACATAATTCCACATGGATACAATTCTTGTTTGATGCCACATAATTATGACGGCGAATAAAAGGTGATAATTATTTCAAACTAGATATGGTTTTTTACGAGAGGCTTAGAAACAGAATTACACAGGATTAGAACGGATAACAAGTGTGTAAAAATGAGCATGGAAACAAAAGTAAAATAGTAGTTTCTAACTTGAAATGGAAGTTAGGTGGAGCCTTAGAAACACAAAAATTGCACAGGATTAAGATATAATTGTAAAATAGTTAATGTTTTTTATTAAACGAATTATAAATGTGAACAGGAAAAGCATGGAAACAAACTTAAAATAACTGTTTTTATAATTGAAAAAATGGCGTGAATCGAATGAAGACTGAGGGAGTAAGAATCATACACACAGCAAGCGAAAAAGGATCAAAAACAAAAAAAGAGAACGAAAGAAGAAAAAAACAAAAACAAAAACGGAAGCTAAGGTAACATACCGAACTAGGTCCATGGTAGTTGTAAAGGTTGGACTAATTTCTTTTCAACACACAGCTCCGGCTTCTCGATGCATATTGCGAGGGTTTCTGTAGTACAGAGAAGTCGGAAACATACTGCTTTCGGTAGGTTTCTGTTGGCTTTGTAAATTACTTTGAAAGAATCAGTTCAGATGTTGTGGATGGTGTTGATCAGATGTTCAATAATGGCATTTCTGTTTGAACCGGTGCCTCCTCTTTGCAGCCACGTTGGGTAATGTTCTCTAACACGTTTGAAAGGACGCGCATACAACGACCTATGTACCTAGCTCTACACAAGCAGGTGAACTGGTATATGCACAATGAATCGGTCATATGCGAGAGTTTTTCCTTCGTGTTGTTTCGAAGTATTGGACGGTTAGAGAATGTCACTCTTAGTGTTGCTGCAGAGAAGGTCTTCTTTAAATAGCTGGATATTCTCCTCTTCAGGATATCAGCTGCCAAATGTCCCCTGAAATTCAGATTCAGATACAGCGTCTTCTTTGGCGCCGAATCACATTCTTCTCTTTTCCGTTTAGGTTTCATGTTCTTTTCGACAAAAGTTGTCGGGTAGCCATTTTGAGCCAGGATATTTTTGAGGAATAGGAGCTCATCTTCCACGGAGTCGCTGCTGCAGATTTTTCTAGTGCGATGATGAGAGCTCGTTTTCGGCTCAAAGGTATCCAACTATAGAAATGCGTTAGTTGGTCGTTCCATGTCAGTTTTCTGTGGATGGACCGCTTCAGGATTTCATCATCTATTCTTGTTAATTCCACGTCCATAAATGGAATATTTGAATCGTTTTCTAGTTCCATTGTGAATTTAATCGAAGGACGGGAATTATTAAATTCTTGTAAGATGCAGTTGAAGTTTGAGTCATGTCCGAGTAGATGTCACTTGTTATTCTAATGAAGTTACTTTGAATTTCCTGTTGATTGTTGCTCATCCAATCAAAACATCTAGTCTCTGTTGACACGTTGGCTCCAATTACGAATGCTTTGATAATGCTTTAAGATTAACATGATGACGTTTGGTTGTGGAGGTCCAGCAGTGGAGTACAATGGATTTTATTGTATTACAATATGCAGTGCTGACTGATCGTTTTCCCATCGAATGAAGGCCTACCTCTTATAACCACTGTTGTTAACTTGACTTTTGTTCACTTATAATTTTAGCTGAGCTCTACTCAACCCCGACAATTAGATTAAGCCACCCAACTTGCTTATTTAATCTTATTTTAGTTTCCAACCCATTAGTGCTCTCTACATTACGTAATTTGTTATCTAAAATTTGCAATTCTAATGACAAATCTCTGGAAATATTCATTTTGTTGCCAAGAAAATTTACTATGCATATATATGCGATTGTACAGCATGAGAATGACATCGCCGAAGAGAGTAACTCTTCGCTGAACGCCTTTTCCTTGATAATTATTATGTGCAACCGTAGTCTAACTCTACAGTCTACTGGTCAAGTATCAAACTGTATAAATATTGATTATCTGATCTCTCTGTTAGTCACACAAACAACTGGTCAGATTTCCGCCTTTCTCATAAATGCTTACTACTCGGTCGTCATTTCTACATGACTGATTTCCATTGTACTATTTGAATTACAAGTTGAGGCCAAGGTAAGCTGCTACAAAAGTGTTAAAGGTTCATCGTTGTTGACTGTCGAACAAGTCTTCCAAAAGTGAGTGCAGTTTGTGTAGCTGTCTTAACACTATAGGTTGATTGATAGGGGGTACTTAAGGGTAAGTAAAGTAATTCCATTCCATCCGTTAACTTTTAAGACTGGCTTAGTTAAGTGTCTAACAAACCGAGTAGTAGAACTAAGTAGTACACGAAAAGACCAAAATGATGAAATGAAACAGTAGAAGAGGCGTTAGTGTTAAATAACTATCCTTTAAAATTCATTAGGAAGATCGAAAAAGGCCAAAAGCCAAATAAAAATATTTGTGAAACTAGCACTGATAACATAAATAAGAAAGAATTAAGGCATCTACTGTTATACCACATAAGAAGGGGACATCTGAGGCCCTACGTAGGATTCCTAATAAAGCAGGAATTACGGTGGCATTAAAACCTACAAATTCACTCAGGGACAAGCTATGTAGGCCTAAAGACCCGGTGGACCCAATTAGACAAAATAACATAATTTACAAAACACCTTGCGATGACTGTGAGGTTAACTACATACGTCAAACTAGTAGATCGGTAGGTGTCAGGTTATCAGAACATAAGAATTTAGCTAAGGTAAGAATGGTTGACCCAGAGAAGATAAGTAATTTAGAAAAAAAAAACTCAGCAATTGCAATGCATGCATTAACACAACCACACAATAGGGTAGGAGAGGGTTAAAATTCTAAAAAGTAATCTAGGTAGGTGGAGAGAGAGGTTGATTACTGAATCTTTGTTCATCGAATCTACACCCAACACGTGCAATAGGAATGAATCATCACTCATACCTGAAATATGGAAAATAATACTACCAATCAAGTCAAGCGATGGAAAATAATGGAATTATATAAACGAAGTTAAAAAGTTGTGTGATTACCTTGATATGATTATGAGCAATATTAAATTGTGCTCGAAAAGTCATCAGTAAATATTACTGTATAACACTGTGAGACTTTAACAAAATAAATTTTACCTACAATGGAATTATACTCTACCACAGTCCACAAGTTTTATTCTTATATGGGTTAATAAAATAACCTAAATTATGTCATATTACAAATTTCATATCAAAATTAATTTTTAATTATTTAAGCCTACATACATAAACTGTGCGTCGGTGGCATAGCGCTTAGGAATCTCACCGACCATGCACATGGTCCGGGATTCAATCCCTGGCCGACGCACCCCCTTACCTCGCTAAGCCAGAAATAATGTTGGTGAAGAGGGAAGGTTGGGCATGAGGCTAGCAACCCCATCCTGTAAAATAAGCACTGCTACAGAAACTTCAAGCCACTAGCTTGAAGCCCTATGTTCCACTGGGGAACGTGAAGGAATAAAAAAACATACATCCATCACTAATGTGATGTCTTTAAATGTGTGGGCTAAATATGTTCGCTTCATCATGAATCATCATGAAAGTGACGACAACCAAATTTCCCCGGTTAATTTAAACGGTACATGTATAAAGTCTTCAAAACTGATACATACACTGCATGAATGTTGAATGTTATTGTTTGAATGTAATGAAACAGTTGTCTAAATGTGTGAACGAATTCAATATAAATAAAAAAATATATCACAAGCTTGTACTTTTATTTTCATGTATAGCGGTAAATAACTTCACAAAATTATAAGCCCACAGCATTCGTCGCTCAACATAAAATACTAACTTTCACTGATGAAGGTAAATTTTTAGGCTGAAAATTCGTTGTAAACCATCTATGCCATTCAGTACGCTGTTTTCTTACATCCCGTCGTCCGTGCACGATTCCTAGATAGCTTGCTTAGCCAGTCATCACAGTCCAAGGATCCTGATCCCATAATAAATCTCATATTTCAGATGATGAATTTGGTGTTTTGATTTGTCTCTAATCTAAGCAGAACAAAAACTATATGAGTTAGGGCATAAGAACTTACGTTTGTATACAGTGTACTTTGGACAGACGTCAACATCCCTTCATCTCATACAAAACATGTCTGAGATCTGCAGACTGTAGTTCTTATGATATACCCTTCAGTTTCTATGTTCCATTTCCTCTCTCCTGTCTTCCAGAATACTAGCCATGTCGGCCGTCTGTCCAATTTGAGTTTAAGTTTTTTTCTCTTTTGAGAAAGAAGCCGTGACTAGAATTCTAAACGTTCTCTTATGCTTATTGATCTTTTAATTGACTGCGTAAAGATGCGCATTAGAACAAAGTCAAATGTACAAAGTACACAGTCTTAATTTATACAGACAACAAAATATTCTCATGATAATTAAAACTCAAAAAATACAGTTTTTTTTAAAATTTTTGTTTTGATTTATCTATTTTTTTTCTATACGTCGCTTGCAATTTACGTGTTTTATGAAAACAAAACAGATTAATCTTGTCGTATTTTTTCACCAGGTAATAATAATTTATTTCGTCTCAGATGAATTTAATTGAATTATTTATTCTCCGTTTTGTTTTTCTCTGCTCTTTCACATTGGTTTCATACCATACGAAATTTCAGTGTCTCAATGTTTCAATGTTTAAATCTATCCTTGTTATACCTGTAATCTGATTGGCTGAGAGACAAACGCTGTGACCTTGGCAACCTAATAGTTACATATGATTATTATTGTTATAATTACTAGTCGTGTTATTATTATCACTTTACAAGACGAAAACAATATCTAATGTCGATAATTTTACAACCAGACTATGTATATGTGACAAAATTGGATATATGAAAAAATTATTTAACCATAAAATAAAAATTGGAGTCATTCAAATTACTGTAAGATAAAAAAGAAATCGGTTGAATGGATCTAGATGAAGGAATTTAACAAGACTGGAAAATTTTAATTTCTCAAAAATAATACGCTATAAAAATGAACACTAAGCATGAATCTTGGCATTTTCAGGGATTAATTTTATTCACATCATCAAATCTATACATATTAACAAGTTTCATTTTAGTATCTACAGTGATCATCATGTTTTGTATAAAGTTTAAATTTAAATTACCGCCTAAAAAATTGAACACATTGAAACAAAGAAATAAAACGGATGATAAAGAATTGGACAATGGAATTATTCACTTGAAAAGGTTTGTTTGTCTTTTCTTCGAAAGAAGTGTATTTTTATGCTTTTATGTCTTTTGTCCGTAATATTTTGAAAACTTTATATACAATTCTTGGTTTGGTTTGGCTGGCAACAGAACACAGGACACGCCTCTCAGCCTCTTTGAGGCTGGTCTTCTGGATGTATTGTAGGCCAGTGAACGATGCTGGTTTCAGTACACATCACTTCAAAGTCGTTATCCGCTGGGCTCTGGCCACAAGAGCCACCTCTTATGCAGTGGTTACGAATTGATGTGTTTCTGTGATGCTATATTTCAATCTTATCGAAGTAAATGTGCTGCTGAGATGAATGCTTTGGACACAGGGTCCGAGTATAAGTGAGAATACCATCATTCAGTAGGGAGTAAGTACATGCAGATTGGAAGTCGCGAATAGGGTGAGACACTCCTCCTGGATTCTACTGATAACCACTGTCAAACAGATAACGCCTAATTTTTTTAGAATCTGAGTAATATCAGGCTTGAACAAAGCTAGAACAACAAATCTACCTGGACAATAATATGAGTTCAGTTTTTTATTATTTTGAGGATTTTTCTCAACCAGTTACAACCTGAAAAATACAAAAACGTATATATTAAATTAAAGATTTGAACATCCTTTTCCCAAATTGACAAGGAGTAATTGATGATAGGAACTAAAATAGCATTAGTCAGGAATGATGTCAGTTGTTAAATAGTTAAAAGTGAGAAGGATTGACTATTTATTGGAAAATTAGACGAATATACAGGGAAACGAAAGGACCGAGTTTAACAGATTTTTGTGAGTAGAAATTAAGTTTAACTAGAAACAGTCTAACCAAATAATAGGTTACGTAACCACAGAAAGTTTGTTTTTCTAAAATATTCAAAAAAGGAGGCGGTTAGGGTGAGTTATGTTCAGACCAAAAATAAAGTTTTCTAAACAGGACAAAAGATGACTTAGTAAAAATCGTATACTTTGTTATCACCAAGGCAATACGAGATCCAACACTGGCTATTTCTGCCTACATAGATTTCATTTTATTCGTTTGTTGGCGATTGCCTCAGCAAAACGCAGCAAGCTAGATGGTTTCTTTTGCCTTTTGATTATTTTGAACACCTTTAGATTGTCCACAAAATGATGGCATGCAGTCACACTGCTTTTTAGTGCCTGTGAGCTCTTTAGTCTCAAGTTCCTTGGTGTGTGTTCAGCAATGGGGACAATGACACTTCTCTCTGTTCTTCCAATGTATGTACTTTGGCATTACATGTAAACTGACAGACACAGTTACAGGTAAAATGAGGTGGAAGTTTGTCCACCTTTGAGTTTCTTAAACAACTAGTCGTTTGATGAACCTGTACAAGCTTGGTGGCTGGATATGTTCTTTTCGAGGCAGCCTTCGGTTCTCATCTTATTCTATTAGCAGTATCGTCGCCTTTGAAGACAAGTTGTATAAAGATGGACTATTTCTTTACTGTGATGTATTTCATTTTGCCGACACTAAGTTCTTTACACTCCTCGATGAATTTCTCTGTGTGTAGTTAATATCACACAGGTATTTTTCCACAACAGTAAGCTCTCACACGATCAATGTTCTCACCAATCTTTTTTTGTAACCTATAAGGCAGAAGCTTTTAAAGTTCAGATAAATCGCCTTCTAGGTCTTTTTTCTGTAGATGTACCTTATGATTTTACCGTCTATATCACGTTGGATACCAAGGTCAAGAAAGTGAAACTTGTCCTCATCTTCACAGTACCTTGTAAACTTTATAATAAGATGTACACTATTCAGGATGTTTAATATTTGATGAACGTATCGTCGACATACCTGGCATAAAAGCTAATCTGACCGATTGAGGACTTTATTCTTGTTTGTCTCAAGTTGACCATAAAAGTACCTGTCATAATCAGACCCAGAGAACTTCCCATAACGACTCCAACAATTTGGCGGTATAGAAAATTTTTGAACTGAAACTCTATGCCCTAAGTACATATTAGGAGTAGCTGTTTGAGTTCATTCTTTGGCAAAGGAATGAGATCAACGCGTTGATGTATAATCTCTACTGTTTCTTCCAGCTATCTGCTTAAGAAGCCTATATTAACAATATGAAACTGATCGATTCGATTCGGAAATATCAACGAGCCACTGCAAATATGAATAATTAGTAATCTATACACTATTTACTAAATAGATTAGTTTAAGTATAAGGGGTAATTGAGAGGAGTTGAAAATATGGTTGGATTTCAGTGTCGATCGATTTTTCGAAACAATTTAGAAACAGTTCTCTTTAGAATTTCAATCAATATCAACCACCTATAAAGCAGTTTTAGGTTGGGTCAATGCAACTACATCCTCATGAATATACCCCTGTGACTCCTCATCGAACAGTGTAAATTGTATTTCTCCTGCTCCCAAGATTATATGTGACATAATAATACTCTGGAAGGGACACTCTGATCAAATGTACATAACTGTCATATATGTTTATACTTCAAAGATAACGGAGCATAAAGAATCATAGTTCTTATCAAAAATTATTTGCTATTACTTTGAGCGTCCCTTGATAATCCAGTTTTGAAACTTAAGAATATTTTCATCCCCAATCTCTTTCGCATTACTTCACTATCCTACCACTTATCTGTGATCGTGATCTATAAGCATTTTAACCCATATTGGTAGAAACTTTGATCGTTTCATCACGGTTGTATATTGAACCGAAATATAATGACGAGTGCATGTGTTCATGTTTATGTGATCAGAATGTCCGAAATGTGTTGCGCAAATAAACATTACACTTTTCAGATAAATGATGTCTCCCTATTGCCCTTTTTTGAAGAAATTCATAAAGAGTATTTATCGTATCAAAATTTCTGAAAATATGAAGCTTGCTGGAAATTAAGTTACCAATGGCAACGTACATATCTCTACTCGTGATATACTCAAGTGGTCACAAACATATAACAAAAGATAGATCATAAAAATTAGGAACTGTTCCCTTAAAAGTTAGGTGGTTCTACTCGTCTTATTGCGGTTTTATTATTATTATTGTTTCCTTTAATTCCTAGAGGAACATAGGGCTTCAGCCACACGTCTCTATTGCATTCGGTTCTCTGACAACGTTTTCACCTGGCTCCACGTCTGCCCACATACTTTCATCTTCATTTAACCCTCGTACTGGCGACCAACTCGCCACCTCCCATTCGAGTTCCACTCGAGCGATTGCCTGGCGTGTGATGTCACTTGATGGTTTGTTTTCTCAGAGAATGGACAATCCACCTCCATTTCTTCCTACACATTTGTTGCACAACTGGTTCCCTCTGAGTTGGTTCGTTAATCGCCAGAGATCACTCACTACTGCTGATCTTTTCTGGCCAGCCATCTGATCTTCAGTATTGAGCGAAGACAGCTGTTGATTAAAGTCTGTAGTTTGTTCAAAGTGCCATTCGTGATGCGCCAAGTCTATGATCCACATAGTCAGTAGCCTTGACTTCACATTGGAGTTGAAAATCAGGACCATATTTTCATTCTAATGCTGATTAGTGCTGTTGACCTCCACACAGAAGTGTTTTAATGCATTAGTGGTCCAGAACTAGAATTCTTAGCAACCAAATACGTCGTTCGAGGTTTAATTATCGGTTGATGCACTCCTGAACCTGGTCTAACTGGTAGTAAACCTGACTGAAGTGTGAAACTTGGGCATAAAGGTATCAGCACCAATCATACCGAAATTTCAAAACTCAAGGTTGCTCCACTCAGAATGCCAGAGTGAAAAAAATATCAAAGGACCGTTTTATTGTTGCCGCGAATAACTTTTCAGCGTGTATAACAAACATTATGACGCCTTAATAATTTCGTGATAGAATGTAATTGGAAGTTAAAATGTCTATTAATGTTAAATTATATCATGTTCTCATGATATGTGATAATCACTATACCTTTATAAGTAAACTATTAAGGGTGATTATATGGTATATCCTTTTTTCGAAATGGCGCCACCCACTTTATCCGGTGGATATTACGGAGTTTCAATAAATAGGCCAGAGTATACCCCAGAATGATTTCATGAAAATTCAGTATAACATATGTTTAGTGTATTGAACTTGCTGCCTCCTTTCATCTCAATAGATTGCACAGATATCAGTCTCAAGCAACACTTTCTAATACAAGTAGAGAAAATATAACGCAATTCAAGAATATAATGCCACCAACAAAGTGAATGCCAGAAAAATTTCAAAAATTTCATTTAAAAACTACACAGAAAAAGGTGTAGTGAAAACCATTAACAATTCGATACTGGACCATCTGGTGCACATCGGCCACAAAGCCAGCCAGCATTGAAGAATCCTTCTCTATCGTCTACTGGGTACCAAATAAATTGCTAAAATCATCGAAGCAGCGCATGCTCCAAACAGCACAGGCTATTGCAATTCGCCTCAAACAACCAGTGCTTTGTGTTCAAAAGAAGCAAGTCCAGCTACCCACTACTACTGCCCTGACCTTCTTCTGTGGAGACTACAAATGCATGAATTTGTATTATTATCTTTCCTAATTCTTCTGACATTCTGTGTGTAGTGTTATGTTGGTTCTATTGAGCTGTAATCCATCAATATTATTATTGATTTGATGTTATTTAAACAACATTAATGTTCTTCATAACACTAATTCGTTCATTCACTATTATGTGTATATAACTGTAGAGCCTGACGATGAAGTTGTCGAAAAGAGTACTCTTTGTTCAGTATCCATTCGTTTGAAAATATAATATATATAATAATACAGCACCATAGCAAGGGGTTAAAATACTACAGTTAACAGGGAATTGCCATAAATGATAGAACCAACTGCTGAATACATAATTTAATATTCAAGCAGAATATATCCCCATTAGTTTTACACTAGTGTCTATGTGAACCTGGTTAACTGTTATTCATCTTAAGATGTCTTGCAATTGAGACCATGTTTCTAATAAAATTCTGATCTTATCTACTGAATGTGATTACCTACAAC